TGATGAAGATAGTCCCCCAGGCTATTTCTTTGCATGAGCAGTTGGGACCACAGTGAGTTGGTAAGTGGGTGAGATTTGGCGGGGTGGGGAGGAGGGCACCTTTACACTGTCCAGTGCTGAGGCTGGCAATTGGCAATGAGGAAGGGGGGCTGTGGAGAAGGGGTGCAAGGTGGAGGGGAGGGGAGGGCAGACAGCATTTGCGAGGAGCCAGTCAGCTCTCTGCTCCACCTGGCTCTCTTGCCTCCACCAATCTTGCCCCAGATCCTGCTTTGGACTAACACTGGAGGGAGAGGGGACACATGGGGATTAGGGATGGAGTTCCAGTACAGTCCTGGATAGCAGTGGGGAAGTATTTTCAGCATCTGGGAGAAAGCCCAGCCATCCAGCTAGATTGGCAGCTCTGGGTGGCCATTCATATGACAGGGACAGAGTTGTAATGGAAACGGTCAGGGGGAAGGTTGCCTGCAGAACTCTAAATAGTCCGTTTCAGGAACATTGAACAAGTTCAAGAGATAGTGCCAGATAATGCTATTCAAGAAATCTTTATCACCAAAGAGAGAGGAAATAAAGTTTAATAACCAATGAGGACATCAAGGGAGAGGGATCGTTCAGGAGAATTCTAAAGCTGCCATTCGGTGAGAGCATCTGGAGAAGTGATCTAATTTCAGAAACTGTCTGCCTTCAGTCCTTCTTTTTATGATCCAGGCTGAGATCACACAATTAGATTTCAGTTAGCCCATTCAAGGCCAACCACCAATTGGTCTTACCTGTCCAGCCACATCTTTTGGTTTTTTTCCCTTTATAAAACGATGATTAGGCAAAGCTCCAAGCCACTCCTGGTTACTCCCTCTTCTCCACCTCTGCCTTTGCTTGATAGCTTCCAGAGCTTCCAACGCAGGCCCCTCTTCTCTCAGCCATGCCCACCAGCTTCTCCAAGGCCTATCTTGACTCATGCACACCCCCCGCCACCCTGGGGGCAGTTACACCCATCATTACTCTGTCTCCCCGAGAGGCTGGCAGTTCCCCAAGGCACCAACGCAGCACTGATCTGGGAGTCGCCGAAGAGCTGTGGCCACAACGATGACGACTATGACCCGGAACAAGCCAATTTGTCTTCTCAGGATACAGATGGGGAATCTCAGTCCTTAGAGACTGAATGATGTTCCCATGACAGCGAGGCTATGTTACAGCAGCGGTGGGGCCCCATTCGCGCCCACGTCCTCCGAGTCTCCTCTCGGTCTACGGTTCTTTCCGCTGAAGAGCTCACAGCTGCTTCCAGACCTCATGGTTGCCAGCCATAAACAGATTTATTCAGGCTATCATTGCAGATAGAGATGGAAATCAAAGGACTACATAAGTTGGATATTTTGGTGGCACATTGTCCCAACGTCACAGCCTAATGAGAAGGATCGCCTCCAGATAAATATCTTCTGGGCTTGCATTACACATTCGATGCAGAGCGGATGATTTTAAAGAAAGTATAGGGTGAATTACTCTAGTCTGTGGGTACTTACTTCTGTTGTACCAGTGAGGTTTTAAAAGGCTAGGAATGTATACTTGAATTCAAGTACAGTTTAAGGTACAATGGGTTAGAATATTGGAGAACACAGCGATTGTATTTATTCATCTCAAGTACCTCTCGGTGGATAATTAACCTGGGCCATGATAAAAACAATTCTATTAGGCCCATTTCTCTTGTGGCTGATGCCACTGTGCCACTTGCTACAGTATTTTTCCTTTGTTTCATTCTAAACTGAACGCTACTATAATAATGCAAGTATTACCGCTTACGTAGCAGTTCCATTTTCCTCCGTGCGATGGAAAAGCCACCATGGCTAGAGGAAAGCAGGAAGTTTATATTTTCACTCATGAAGATGTAGTTCTAATGAAAATCTGCAGTGACAGTCTAGATATATCCATGGTAGGTTTCCTGTACCATCCAGTAAGAGAGTTTTTTATCCATAAAGAATACAGAGTTTTTAGGATACTTCTCTGTTCTGATACACACTTTGCCCCACACTGGATATTTGTGAGAAAGAGAAGGAAATCTATCACAGGGAGTTCTAATTTGGGGGAGGGGTATCATGAGCCCCTTTGGGAGTCTGGTGACACCTACAGACCCCTTCCTAGAATAATGTTTTCATAAATGCATGAAACAGTATACATTGGAAACCAAGTATATTGAAATACAGTTCTAGCCATGGACCCCTGATGCCCTAAACCCATCATAGAGCTGACTCAGGCTCCACCAGCTACGTAATTTTTGGCTCCTCAAAGTGCGATTATGAGGTTAGAAACATAGCCTCCTCCTTACCAAAACTCAAGCCCAAAACCCAAGTCACAAAGTGCAAAGGCATTGGATCACATCCAGGGGGCAAGGCTAGCTGGTTAGCAGGTGGCCGCTGACCCGGGATGATTGCAGGGCAGTGAAAGGCTCTCTTCCTGCGTCCCTCAATTCCCCTCCTCCCTGTCCACTCATGCTTCAAATCCCTTAATAGAGTCTAACTCCTTTGGTTTAATTAAATAGAGGATTTACTCTTGTTAAAAAACAAAAACCCATGGGAGAAGTAATACTCCATGCCAAAGATTTTCAGATTTATTTTCAGGAGTAGAAGCTATTTTTCAAATGCAACCTTAAATAGAATGCTGATATGTAAATAAATGCAAATTTTTAAAGAGTTTAGTATAATTCTATGTGTTGAATTACATACACAAATAAGCATATATATTATATGTAAATCAACACTGGAAACAATGAGGTTGTCTTGATGAAGGCAAATTATGAAATCAAGAGTTACAGATAATAACTACCATCTTGCATCCATCTCAGCATACAATTTATTTCTGTATTTTCTTCTTGCATGCACAAGATGGAGAACATTCTGAAGTCAATGGATAAGGAATTTCAAATAGCTAACAATTTATGGTGTTTATAATCTCAGGAGTTCCCTCAATTAAAATGCTCCAGAAGCTTTAAAGAATAGTAGGAATTTTTTGTTTCAAAATGGAATCATTAACAATATCTAACAACTGCTTGTATTCCTTGGTAATTGAGGATTAGTTGATGAGTACTTAATTTAGGGAGATTTGTCCAGTGGATTTCATAAATACTTTGAATCCTAACTCCCCTTACCTACTTCATAACCTTAGGTGAGTAGCTTAATCTTAGTCTCAGTTTTCTCATGTGTAAAATGGTTATAAAAATAGCACATATGTTATAGGTATAAGGGTTAAATATGAGAGTGTACATAAAGCACTTAGCGTAGCATCTGGCACAGTTTAGCAAGTGCTCTTATTTTTGAGGGGTCCAATGACCAGAAGTACCTTTCAACTGTATATAACAGTTGTAACATTGTAACACTGTCCTATAACATTGTAAGATGTTCGTTCCATCATGTCCACTGAAATTTCTTCTTGGGTATCTCGGCACCCTCCTGTTTTGGATAGTCACTCAACTGCAAAACAAGCTAATTTTGTTTTGCGTGTTGAGTCCAAATTTTAAGAGGATGCTTTATTGCTGACCTTTCATGTACAGCTGTAAGCAAACTCACATGGCGGCCCTGCATTGCCAGATGAAGATCGTACAGCACATTTCCAACCAGGTAAGAACCAACCCAAGCCTAAAGTGAGCAACGAGATGATCTATAATGCTGTATTCCCACCACGCAAGGTGTATTATTGTAATTGTACCATTCACTATTACGCTGCCAAACGTGAGCTCCAGAGAACCTGCCTGGCTTTGAATGCATGGTGGCACGTGTGTGTTGTAACACTAACACCAGTGGAATGCTTAGTAGGGGCTAGGCGCTGCTTTAAGACCTTGACGTGTATTTGCTGACTTAACCTTCACTTATTTATTTGTGTGACTATTATAGGAGCGTATATGAGCAGATCTGAATTTCAAAATAAGACCAGTACAAAGATACACCCTATCTAATAAAAGACACCTTTCTAGGGAATTCAAATGTGTGTGTGTGTGTGTGTGTGCACGCATGCCCACGCACTCCAAGAATTAACCTAACAACACAAACTAACCCATTGATTGTATCTAGTATGTATGAAAATTTGGTACTTAACCTAAGTACGTCTGTGTTTTCTTTGTTACACTTTAAAATGGCTCAAATATTTATCAAAAAAAAGTTAAATATGAATTAAATGCTTGCAGTCTCCCGGAAACTCACCGGAGTTCTCCATAACGGTTTGAAAACGAGAGCATTAAGCCTTATTACTCATTTATACTGGAGTGTGAAAGCAGCCAAATCAGATCCTTCCCCGGGGGCCCAGGTGTGAAGAAGTGGAAGGAAGTATGAGATTTCTAGTATTAGCTCATTTTTCCCAAAGCCAGGAGCCTTACTGGGTACGTATTATGTGCCAGCAATGTTATATTACCTATAATTCCCAGAACCCCCTTGCCTAATGGGCACCACTATTCTGACTCTGTAGAAGAGGGAACTGAGGATTTGAGATTGCATTTGCTTGGCTGGGGTTGCATAACTGCAAGATGGCAGACAGGACCCAAACTGAGCCACTCAATCCTTCCCACCCCACCCGACCGCCTCCAACCCAACCTCCCCGTTTTATAACCCCGGAAGATGGGAACGAGCGAGGTGGAGTAACTTGCTCTTGGAAATAGCTAGTTGGTGGCAAGGCTGTTGCAGGAATCCGGGAGCGAGGGTGTTTCACTAGGAAGACTCTCTCGGATGGCCCAGTGGGAGGATGCCCCGTGCAACCAGGGTGACCGTGGCCAGCAACATCGTTTCTTCACTTCTAGCCTCGGCATCAGGTCACTTAGTTTCAATCAGAGACTGGATGCGGGAGGAGACAGACCAGTCCTCTCCTGAGCACCTATTATGTGTAAAACACTACTTGGGGCAGGGGAAAGTCTGAAAAACAGGCAAACAGAACGGACAGCAAGGCCCCTGCCCTCATATCAGGGTGGGAAAGAAGGCATCATCATAGGAAATATTAAGTAGAATCCTTGGAAGGTTTTTCAGTAATACTTTGGCTCTCTCCCTCAACCGCTACGGTAATGTAAGCTTTAAACGACAATATAAAACATGGCACGATACAATCCGCGAAAATTGCCACTGGTCACAGCTAGTATTTTCAGAGCCCTTATTTGTACCAGGACCTTTGCTAAGTGCTTTGACTTCTCTCATTTAAATCTCGATACAATCCTATGAGATACTCTTACTATGGACGTTTTACACGTGAAACAACGCAGGCTCTTTCTGGGAGGTCCCTCATCGGGCAAGATTCACACCAGGCCATGGAGTCTGAGCCAGACTCCCTACGCTGAGCTAGCGAGTGCTGGGAGTTCGGCACAGGGCTGGTGGGTCTGGGAAGGCGTGCAGCGTCTCAGCACAGAAACTCAGGAAACATTCTCAAGAAGTTTGGAAACTCCCTACCGGCGGATTTTCTGTGAACGTTACCCGATGAGGGCAAAGCCTCTAATAGCCTCTTCCCGCTCCCCGAGTCCTAGTGGGCTTTGGTGAGAGAGCCCGGGAGCAGCCAAGGGCAATCGTCTCATCACCTTCTTCGGCTTTGCCAGGACTCAAAACCCAGGCGGAACTAAAGGTCTAAACAGCAACCACCTACCAAGGTGATGTACCAGCCCCATTCTCCAGCACCACCACTGGTGCCATACTGGAGGCGTGCATTTGAGGAATCAGGAAGAACACGAGAAGTCCTTGTTTTCTGGAAAACTCTCTCTAAGCGACCTGACGAGAAGGCTCTCTTGAGCCACGGAAGTGGGGGTGCTGTCTGTGCGTGCCAACACGGTGCTTGGGTAAAATGACTGTGTGTCATAAATAGGAGATGGCATTTCTGAATGTCTTTAAAAGCGATTTTCCTTTTGTTCCACTAATTTAATTTACCAAATGGTCCTGGGAAAAGGGAGGGGGACCAAGATGCTGACTCCACGTTTCCTGGAAAATCCACATTTTCTTTCTAAACTGCTCTCAAAGAAATTCCATCTGACTGTCGTCTGCTGGCTCCCTCAGACTCTCCCTCTGTCAAAATTCTGACCCGGCAGGTGTGAGAAAGAAGAGCTGCAGAACTTGAGTGAATACCCACATCTGTTTTTGGAAAAAAGGAACAGAAGCAGCACAGAAGGAAGTAAAAGAGATAATTGCTGGCTTGAACTACAATGCATTTTCCTTGTGGGCAGAGGGCCAGCTTGCAGCAGGCAGACTAGGCAGGCCCATCTTATTGGAATTCAGGGGTGGGCCTCCGTTCTTGTCCGGAGACAGCTGTAAACCAGCGGCCCATAGCATTGCAATCAGGCACCGAGTTTTGTCAAGGAATGCTGATACGTACAGAAGCAGCTTTGTCTGCTTCAACTGCACCCCTGCCTAGTGAAATGACAGTCAATCTCTGATTCCAGATGACAAGAACTGGAGAAAAACTTAAAACAAATGGCGACCTTTCAAAAGATTAATTTGTTTACCAACAAAATGTTCCCTCTTTGTCATCCGAGATGGGGGTGACCTTCACTTTCCCATATCTAGGCTGAAAGGATGCTGACTATAGTCATCTGTTAACTCCGTCTCAGCAATTATTCCCTTTTTTATTTTTAGTGACAAGAAGGGTTTATTAATTCACTCTGCTTCTTGTTATGGTTTATAAATGCAACAAGCTCATTCTGAATTACTGCAGTGTAACATCAATTTGTTTAAATCTAATTCTGCTCCCATTGCCAAATTACGTTGTGACTGTAATTGTGGCCATATGCATGGACTTAAAACACAATCATGTTTTGAAATCGTCCTTCTTTCTCCCTCCACCACCCCCCGGCCCCGACCTTCCCCCTTTATTCTGGTGCTGCTTCTAATCATTTGACATGAACACAATTGCCTCACTTTTCATTACTTTATCATCCCAGAAATGAATGTACTTTCACGAGAGAGATTACTATGTACAGCCCAAGTGAAACAGTAAAGAATGAAACTATGATTTGTGAAGGGTGGTTGCTACCCAACTAAGTTAGTGAAAAACACCGCATAACATATGACTCATAAAATCGAGAGATCATAATAGTATTAAATTCAACCTCATGAATAAATAAAAGATTCTAAGTTTACATTGCATTATATATTTATTTATTTGGAAAGTGGGACCAAAGGACTGGTATAATTCTACAGCAACTCATAGGTTGCCAACAAGAAAAATGGTTTTATGATTCTTTTCTAGGTCATAACAGTTATAATCAGACTTATTTGTGCAGCGATTCAAAGCAATGTTTTGTTTGGCTATTGTGTTATGCATTCATAATTGTTCTTTTAAAATTCATGCTAACAGATACATGTTTCAAGCCTCGTAAGAAACCTTTTTATCTAAACGAAATAAATCAAAGTCAAATTTTCTGTGGATCTTCGAATGTGTTGCATCAGAAAGTCTAACTGGAGCTAGATGGCAGTGAGGAAGTGTGAAGCTGATGTATCAGAGATTTCTTCCTCTTGTCTCCCCATACCTGTGAGGCTCTGCTCTAAAACCTATTAGAGCACTGTTGTTGTTGTTGTTGTTGGATAATTTGGCAGATTTACTATATTGGAAAAAATCATTAGTGAGTTTCACTTTTAGGACATTTTTTATAAATTGATTTTACCTATAGTTACAGGATATAAAATTCTGAAGGCACGTGGGGTGGGGTGTGTGTGCACGCGTGTCTGGGGTATATGTGCTTTCAGTGCTCTAAAATCTCTGCACCAGCCCCTTATGATCAGGAAGGATACACCTCTTCATAAAATGGAGAAAATATCAGTTTCTAGGAACTAATCCTGTAAATCAGCTACATATTCAAATTTGCTCTGTCAAAAATGTCGAAGATCATTTACAAGCTGTTCAAGTTTCATAAGAAGGAAGGAAGCACATGGCCCTCGGCAGCCAAATTATAATCCCCTTTGAGTGTTTAGAGTATTTCTAAAAAGCGATTAGCCTTGATGCTGCTTTTCTAATTAACTATACATCACAACACTAGACACATTGCTTCCGCGTGGGGAAGTGCTTTCAGAAACATTCTTATCAGTGGTAAATCACAACTGTGTCTGTTCCCAAATGCTCTATGTGATTGTTTAAAACCAATACCTGAATATTTCTCGAACGGGGCTCTTGGCACAGTGTTTTCATTTTGTAAATCCAAAACGGAATTACTGATTTTCCATTACGACCATCATACATACATACAGCAACGTGAGATGATAGGATCAGCTATTTTGATTGAAATGCTAATAGCTTGAGCAAAATGTATATAATGTCCATACATTTTAAAGGGCTCTGATGTAGATTTTCATGGAGTCAAGTTTAATGGGAAAAAAGGATCTTCAATACAATAAATGAGTGTATATTATCTATGTATCATGCAAGGCCAAGCGCTTTCCCAAACCCTCTGCATTTGAAGTACATGGGCACAATAACCAAAGCACTCGTCCTCTTGGGAATTAGCAAAAAATATAACAAATGACTAAGGTTCTGCCCCAGATTTTGGATATAACTTTGAATTCCTATATATGTCTGAATCTTCACTCCCATTCCTTAAAGCCAACCAGAATCCTCTCTAAATCTAGAGGTGTGTCTTTTTAAACTTCGATACTCATCAGGAAAAGTTTGCTGGAAATGCTGTTGTTGCCTTGGGCTACAAAGCCCCAGCATTCCACCAGCTACGCCAATATTAATTCTAGATTGAAGGGGGAAAAGCAACAACAACAAAAGAGAAACCTGCTTCTGTCTGTGCAGCCAGAGAAATAATATTTTTATTTCAAGGGCTTTGGGCTCATGGGACGCAGACAAAAACCCTTTCCCATTATTCACAGTGACATTTTAAATAAAGTTTCAGCAGGAATAAAAATATCTAACTTTCTGGTTATTTCTTAGGCTATAGAAGTATTTCTATGATAGAGTGTACTTAGGCCAAACCTATTAGAATAACATAAAGCACATAGAAAGAAAGTAAAAAATATTATTTCAGGGTTACATGAATGAAGCAGGTAGATGAAAATGTCTGTGTAGGAAATTTAGAAGTTTAATCCGAGAGACTATGCTGATTAGAAATGGTTTTGCAATTTAATTCTAAAATTCATCTTGTTTTTTAGTTTTGATCTCCCCAAAGCATACATTTAAGAACTTTTGAGAGAAGCCAAAGGTTTAAAATGTATTTACAAACATACAGGTGTCACCTCAGTGATTGTTTTCAGTATTAGAAATAATCTCAAGTCAAATAATTTCTCAATTAAAATGAAGCACTACTTTTGAATCTCCTAAGAAAACCCCACAACACAGAAAGTACAGTCCTTGCTTTGGGAGACTTAGCAGCCAGTCAATGGTAAATATAGGCACAGACTCTGAGATCACTTAATGCCAATCTCCATTTGATCATTCTTCCCTCCCATCAAATTTTGCTGACATAAAGAATGATTCCATGCTTGCTTCAGATTTAGAATAATATTCTTAAATTTGGTGTACTGGATGATTATATGCATTGAAGCCGATTACCGTACTGTTTTCTTTTGATTTTTCTAGCGGTAAGCCTACTATCAAAGAAATAAAATATTTAACATTTCTCTCTTCATTCCTTTTGTTGTTAAATTATTTCATCCTTGTTAAAATGATGATACCAGATTATTTAGGAACATCAGATAAAACAGAGAAATTTGAATGAGCTACAAATAGATCTTTTAAAAATGGTTTACATGTTTTTAATCATTCGTAATTATAAACAGAATGAAAGCCATTCCATTTCATCTCCCCCAAATTCTAAGGATCAGAATCATTACTTAAAATGTACATTGTATCTTATAAAAGATATGACTTTTGGTTCTTAAAAAATATTAAGAGCTCTTTAAAACAAGTCATTACTTACACAGGCTTTTCTCTGATTAATATATGGCAAACTGATTCCATAGTTCGCATTTACGGCAGCTCTGTGGTGGATGTTTTCAGGATCCTGCATGATTTTTACGTTCAACCCTATCTTTTGCTGAAACAAAGAAACAATGAAACTTTCATGTTGAAT